ACATCCTTCTTTAGCAAGACTGTAGTAATTAGGATTATAAGTGATGGCTTCATTAAGTTTAAGGGGAAAGATACCAGTAATACAGAGCTGATGCCGACCATTCCCAACTCATAGAAGAAGTAAACCAAAGAAATGCTTCTGAGTGTTTGACTGCAGAGTACAATACAGCTCTTCAGCAAGACAATCACAAATTCAAACCACATCAGCAACTAAGTCCAAAACTAATGTATAGAATCCTCACCTTGTCTGCAAATGCATCTAAATAGAAATTAGAAAGTGAAAACCTGCCCAAATTAAAGACCAAGAATTAAACCTAAAACTCAAAAGATAATCATAAAACTCAAAACCAAAATAGCTAGTAAAAACAATCTACTGAAGATTGGATCACAATGCTAAAAGTTCTAAAAATCTGTAAGGGATATTCGACCCATCTTCACGAGTTACAAGCAACATGTATAATGCCATTATGACGAAAGGTTACATAACAAACCCACAAGTACCTTTAAACATGCCTAACCCAAATCAATATTGATGGCACATCTAAGATCGTTTTTACTGAACATATGAACCTAAACAAGTATTTCTTTTTTTCCTTTTTTTAATCCTAAAAAACTTTCATTAAAACCCCCAAATGGGTTTATACTAGCCGCTTCCAATTTCAGCAAGATTTTACATTTCTTGCTAGAAAATGCTCACGTGCTAGAAAATATATTCAGAAACTTAGAACATCACATGTGCTAGAAAATTCTCAACAATCAGAAACTTGAACAACAAAACCATTAGATCCACAGAGAGAGAGCGATTACACTAGGGAGAGGAAAAGGCCAAACGAGATGACATTGCCTTCACAAAATTAAATTAACTAAAAAAACCTAAAATCGAAACATTCAAATCATTATCTCTTTCCTTTATACCTAGAAAATTCCACTACGGTCAGAAGAATTCACAAAGAACAAAAAACACAAATCAATAGTATTTGAATTTGTTGCAGAGAGAAAGAGAACAAATCGAAGGCACCACGTACCAATGATGTCGACGACGTTTCGAGCTGCTTCAGCGTTCACCATCTTTGTATCGAGTTAATTCTTCTAATTTTCACAGAGATTTCTCTATAATAAAAAATTGCAGAGATATGAAAACGAGAGTTAGAGACTAATAGATGAAGAAAGTAATAGGTAGAGCAGAGAGAGACACACAGATGACGAGAGATAGAGCAGAGAGACAGATGATGAGAGGGAGGAATGTTGCGGCTAGGGTTAGGAAACAAAAGAAGGAGAGAGGCTGAGAGGATTGTGAGGGAGAGAGTTGGGGTCTGTGAGTTGGTTTTGGATGAGTCTTCAACCTTTTGGAGTCCAATCAGGTGCGGGAGGTGCATGGTACCACTTTAACCCCCCTATTTTCTTTTGGGTTTTTAAGAAGTGTCCAGTATAGTGGGCCTTTCCTTGATGGTTTTTAAAAAGCGTCAAGTATAAAGGATTTTTCCTTGACGGGTTTTAAGAAGTGTCAGCTATAAAAGGTTTTTCCTTGATGGTTTTTAATAAGCGTCATGTATGAAGGGCTTTAGTTGACATTTTTTAAAAAGCGTCAACGTTTAGTAGAATACTTGATGGTTTTTCAATAAACGTCAACTATGAAGTGTCAACTAAGGCCTATTTTCTTGTAGTGTTGGCTAACTTCTTTTATTTCCAGCCCCCCAGACCATTATTGCCGTTGTCCATGGCCCTCATCATACCGAGCTCGCCAATCATCTTGGCCGTCATGTCTATGCCCTCAGTGCCTAGGCTGTGTTGGGCCTGTAGCGATCTTTTGCTGCTTTGAGACAATATCATCGGTAGCCGATGCTGATTGTTCGGAGCCTTTGGGCATTTGGGGAGCTTAAGCGATCCACGTGTCAATGGATGAGTGGAGGATCAGATATGGTACAAACAGAAGAGTTGCATGATAAACTCATTGACTTCGAGAGCGCAATCAAGCGCCATGACACTCCTCCTGAACCTCTTGTTGTCACTGCAAATAATACCCAGCGAACCAACTCCAACCGTTCCTTTCACAAGGGTTCTACCACATCCCATGGCTACAGGCCACCTTCTCAGCAACGTGGCATTCTTGGCCTCGACAACTCTTCTCCGCACACTTCCCGTCCATTCTCCGGCCAGCGTCGCTCCTTCAATCAACCAGGCCACTGTTACAAAGGTTTCTGTCAATTGTGTGATCAGTAGGGTCACAGTGCCAAACGATGTCCACATGCTCAGGTTCTACCCTCCTCTGATCCCACTGTGAACGTTGCTACTGCCCCTCATACAGCCACCAGTTGGCTCATCGACTCTGGCGCTTCTCATCATGTGACCCCTGATCTCGCCAACCTTTCTCTCCACACCAATTATGAAGGTCCTGACTCGGTTGTCATTGGTAATGGTTCAGGCATGGGCATCACCCATGTTGGCTCCACTTTTCTTCCTACCTCCTCTCGTGCATTTGCCTTACATGATGTTCTTTGTGTGCCCTCTATTAAAAACAATTTAATTTCTGCCTCTCAATTTTGCAAATCTAACCATACTTATGTTGAATTTTTTCCTTCTTATTTTTCTGTAAAGGATTTGCGCACAGGGGCGACTCTACTTCAAGGCCCGAATTAGAATGATGTGTACACGTGGCCCGGGTCAATGATTGACGTCTCCTCACCTTCTGCACTTGTTAGTACGGCTTCTACCCTGCATGACTGGCATAGTCTCCTTGGCCACCCTTCTCAACCTGTCTTGGATCAGCTCATCTGCTCTCAATCTCTCCCTGTCACTTCAAAGTCATCTGTTAAGTCTCCATGTGTGTCGTGTCAATGTAATAAGAGCCATAAGCTCCCTTTTCATTTAAATTCTCTTTCTAGTCACCGTCCTTTAGATCTTATCTACACTGATGTCTGGGGTCCTGCTCCCCTTCTTTCAATTGATGGTTTTCACTATTATCTTCTTTTTTTTTCGATCATTACACAAAATATATTTGGTTTTACCCTCTAAAAAACAAGTCTGATGTCTCTAAAATTTTTCCCACCTTTAAAAACCTTGTTGAAAATTACTTTCGCTCCAAAATTGTTTCTCTTTATTCTGATGGTGGTGGCGAATACACAAAACTTAAACCTTTTCTCGCCTCTCATGGCATTACTCATCTCACCACACCTCCCCACACCCCACAACATAATGGTTCCGCCGAGTGCCTCCATCGTCACATTGTTGAGACCGGCCTTACCCTCCTTCATCAAGCCTCTATGCCACCACTTTACTGGTCTTATGCCTTTCAAGCTGCTGTATATCTCATAAATCGTCTTCCCACCCCTCTCCTTAAATCATCCTCCCCATACTCATCTCTTTTTGGTCAAACTCCGAACTACCATAAACTTCGTATTTTTGGTTGCCAATGTTTTCCGTGGTTATGACCTTACAACACCCATAAACTCCAACCCCGCTCTCGTCCTTGTGTCTTCCTTGGCTATTCAACCTCTCAAAGTGCCTATAAGTGTCTTGACCTATCCTCCAATCGTCTTTACCTTTCTCGTCATGTCGTTTTTAATGAGTCTATTTTTCCTTTTACCTCCCATGTC